GAGCCCGTCAATGCCCGGGGACCTCTGGCCCTGCATGCTGAAGAGGGCTGTGTGGAGCTCCTGAAGCCCCAGAGGGCGCTCCAGGTCGGCACTGGTCCCCTCAGAGACTTGAGGCAGTTCACTGCAGAACTCCTCAAACAGTTCCTCGTTCTCCACGTATTCGCTGTTGAACAGAGAATGGTAAAAACCCACAGCCCTCCTCCTGATCTGCCCTGGTTCGCTCAGTTGCTGCCCCGTGTCCGACAGCAGAGAGTGGATCTGCTTCCTCTGCCCGTGCTTCCTCTCCAAGCTGATGAAAAAGCTAGAGGGAGCATCCATCTCCGTGATGTTCTGGATCCGGGACCTGACCAATGCGCCTTGGACTTTATTCTCCAGCAGGTTTGCTAAAACTAGCCTTTTTGATTGTAGAGCTTCAATGTGCTCTCGATTTCCTGTGGATCCACTAAGACGTTCTAATTCCACGATGTTCATCTCCAGATCTCTGACAGATCCGGTAATGTCACGGGTAGCATTGAGAGTGTGCTGCTGACTCAGCAGCTTTAATTGAACTTTCCCATGGTCCCACCACTGCCTCAGACAAGTGAACTCAGACTTTCTTTGTCTGAAACCAGTCCAAAAATAACCTAAACTCTCCCCAAAAACCTGATCGTAAGTTAAAGCCGTGTTAAAATGCCAGTAAGCGCTTCTAGGTAAAATGTTTCTGATAAAAACACTACCTAAAAGCAACGAGTGGTCAGTGAAAGCCACCGGTAAAATCTGGCATGTTTTAAACACGTTAAAATGGTGTTTCAGACAATAAATACGATCAAGTCGTGCCAAAGAGATCCGGTTTTCTTTTACGTGGGACCATGTGTACTGCCTGGAGCCTGCGTGCATCCTCCTCCATACATCCACCAGGCCGTGAGACGAGACCAGCTGCCGCAGAGCATGTTGGGCTGCTGGATGTGGCTCTGCATGATTTCGATCCAGAAACTCATTTTCTGTACAGTTAAAATCCCCAGCTACAAAAACATAATCTTCCGACCCACAATCACCCAACCTTTCCCCAATTTTTTTCGAAAAAAAGCTTTTTCTCTGCATTGGTGGTAGGGGCATATATGTTAATAAAAACCAGGCTATAATGGTCAAACGTTGTTTTCACCAAAAGACACCTCCCTTGAACGACATGTTCAACATCTATTGAGTTTGGGGTGAAAGCTTTTGAAAAAAGGAAGCCCACCCCAGCACTCTGGGAGGTGCCGTGGCTTAAAATGACCTCCCCCCTCCACTCTCTGCCCCAGTCTGGTTCAATCAGAGGATCGCTATGGGTTTCCTGTAAAAAAATCACGTCAATTCTTTTCCGGTTCAGTGTTTGGTAGATTAACGCACGTTTCTCAGCTTCCCTCGCCCCGTTGAGGTTCAATGATGCCATTTTTAAGGAATCCATATTGGGTGAGAAGTTATAAATCAACACACCAAAAAAAACTACAAAAAATAGTAATACTGTTAATAATAAAAAGTTACTGTGCATCATTTTACTTAAACTGTTTTCTTGCTTTCGACATTGCTTTCTTTAATCTAAACATTTCTGTTTTTTCAAAACCTGATACGTCATTGTTCCTAATATGATATCTTGCAGATGTATAAAATGTTCTCAAGTCAGGAAAGTAACTTTAAATCTTTACTCCCTTCAAACCTTTAGCTTGTTTCAAGTATGTTCTGTAGGCTTCAACAGGGTATCTAGGTTCATTAGTGGTTGTTTTGGTCACTGATGCCTCACTGGTGTCAGAAAAGCAGCTCTCATCGTCGCTGCTGTCTGACACCTCCCTCCTCTCTGCAGCCAGCTTGCTGACCTGCCTGCTGGCCTGCACAGCAGCCACCACGTTCCTCCTTTTGCTTCGCCTCTTTACCGGGGCAGAAGCCTCCATTTCCATCACCTGCTCCGTCTCACCTGTCCCTCTCTCCACTCCAGCTCCACAAACCGACTCTACACTGTTCCTCCATTCACTCTGTCCACCTACCTCCACCTCTCCTTCCCCTCCCTTATCTCCACACACTAAATGCTCCTCACTGTCCCTCACCACTTCCTGCTCTCCCTGCACACCGTCTCTCACCCCCTCCCCACTCTCACCCTCGCCATTCACCCCTTCACCACACGCCACCGTGCACCCATCCTTTCCCACGCACACACTCATCTCACTGTCCACTACTGACACCTCAACAGTACCTTCAGCGGGCTCCCCCGCAGCCACGGCGGGCTCCCCCGCAGCCACAGCGGGCTCCCCCGCCCCCTTAGCCCCGCTAGGTGGGTCCCCTACCTGCTGAGCAGCAGCGGGCTGCTGCTTCGCCAAATCCGGCGGGGCCGGCCCGGCCCTGTCTGGACACATTTTTATGATGTGGCCCTCCTGGCCGCACCCAAAACATTTCATGCTAGACGATGTTGCAAAAAGAGCGTAATCGAAATCATCGAGTCTAACATGAAACCTTAGGTTGAGTTCTTCGTCTCGCTTATTGAGCAACATAAACAGTTGTCTCCTGTGAGAGACGACATGCTTCAGTAAAGGCGATTTACACCCGGATGGAACTTTTTTAATCGGTGAGACCACCTTACCGTGCCTAGACAGTTCTCGGATTAGGAACTCGTCACTGATAAACGGCGGCACATTTGACAGGGTGACTTTTGTTGCCGGTAGCGTTAACGGTGAAACCTGCAGAAAACAGCCGTTCACGGACACGCCCACCTCCACCAGCTGTTGAGCCTGCTCAACTTTCTCCACAAACAACACCAGTGCCCCATTCATCCGTGCAGCGGACCTGATATTCCCGTGCCCGATCACCTCACCCACAGCCAAACAAACCTCCTCCACGCTGCACGGAGAACCGGCCCCCACCTTGATGCCGTTCTTCCGTGTCAGCGTGGAGAGAGACCCCCCCCCAGCCACCATGGCGTCCTCCGACGCCGGCCTGACGGCCACACCCGAACCCGAATAAAACCCCTTAAAACGTGACAAAATTTAACCAAATTAACAATTAAACAGGTTACACAAACACCCAGTGCAAAACAGTAAGAAAAAACTATAAATAGAAAAGATACTCAATCGCTCTTTCACTCTCTCTTCCTCCGCTCTCCCACACACACCCTCCTCTCACAAGAAGAAGAAGAAGAAGAAGAAGAAGAAGAAGAAGATTTGATTTTCAAAAAACCTTTATTGACTTTATTTTTTTTTTTTTTTTTTTTTTTTTCTCACTCTACATTTCAACGTGAGCTCTTCATTTTTTCCTGAAACATAGAAACAAACAGATTAATCACCCTATAAAACTCAAGATTAAATCCCCGTCCCCCCCAACAGAACACAAAACGCCACCGACAGCCCACAGCTGACTGAAAGCCTCCAAATTATTTGTTAAATTAAAAAATGAAAACTCAGTTTTTAACCTGGCCTTCAACATTCCCTCCAGGACCTTAACCGGATCCAGCATGCCTGCACCCTGAGCCCGGTTCCTGTGCGTAATCCATACAGCTAGTTTAGCCAAACCAGAAATAAAATTAATAAGACGGTGCACTTCCTTCCTTTTAGCAGAGTACTTTGGCTCAAATACAAAACCTTCTACGGAGAAGGCCTCTCCAAAGCCCTGAAACCACCTCTTCAGCAGGTGGAACAGCGAAACCAACCGGGGACACCGGACAAACAGGTGGACCAGGGTCTCCGTCTGGGAACAGAACAGGCATTCCTCCCCCACCCCAGGATCCATGTGCGCCTTGTATCTGTTCGTGGCTATCGCCCCGTGCACAATCCTCCACTGGAGGTCTGCTGCCCGCTTTTCAATGGGCAGCTTGTACAGGGCCCTCCAGCTGCCTTTAGGGGAAGCGCCTGGCCCGAGAAACTCGGCCCACCTCGACTCCCGCACCGTTGCCAGCCAGCGATAGTTCAGGACCTTGACACATACCTGGTACGTTGTCCTTCTCCCTGCCCCCTGAAACGTGTCCATTTGCGGTGTGGAGAAGGAAAGCAGCTTATCCCCCCCTTCCTGCCAGTCCTCCACGGCGGGGGTGATGGACAGAGCCGGGAAGCTGTATTCATGACCCGGACTCCACTGCTCCCTCAGAGTAGTGTCTGTGATGAAGGCTCTCTGGGCCGGTGTCAGGGCAGCACACACCTCCTCCACCACCCTGTTGATCAGCCTCCTGGAGGTTATGCTGCTTCTCTCCCTCAGAGCGTCCACAGAGGTGCTGGTATCTCCTACCAGGTGGCCCAGTTTGGTGCAGCCTGCCTCCCTGAGGTTAGTCCTCAGGGAGGCAGACTGAAGCGTTTTTGTCTCTATCCGACTGTTGAAAAACAGCGGCTCCTCGAACAGCCACATGCCAGGAGTTTCGTCTTCTATTCGCTCAGCTCTAAGAACCTTCCAGGCCTGCAGCACCGAGCTGTAAAATGGAGTCAGTCCGTCCAGGTCCACGTTCTCACCTCTCAGGAGGAATAGCTGTCTGTCGTATTCCAGACGCCCGGCCTTCCTCAGCAGCACCCGAGCCGTTTCGAGCCAGGCCGGGCCGCAGTCGTACAGCAGCTTCTGTGCCGTCTGGAGCCAGATTTGAGTTCCGGCTGATGGGGAACAGGTGTATACTTGCTAAGGAGGGTAACTAGACAGTGTTGCAAGACAATCTGGCACCGACTTAGAGGAAGACCTGTCCTGAAGTAGCAACTCCTGGACTTGATGGTGATGAGCCCCAGTTGTGATCAAGAGTATGGCTCCTAGATGATCTTTGTTGGAATTTTCCTCATTGATAAGGTGAACAATTAGCTTTGTTTAAGAGATGAACCAACAGACAATAACCACATGCCAAATAAAACAACAAAGGCTTACAAGAGAGCATTCTCCAAAGTTTGCATCTGAAATATAGAACCTTCTCTCAGAAAGTGTCTGTGTCTCACTATTCTGATGATGAGATGAGGAAGATGAAAGGTGATATTGGACAATAACAAAAAGAAAATGAACCTCTTGACAATTCATCTGTCCGTGTGCAGCTATTGCAGCCCTGCTGGAAGATGGGGAGAGTCTTGAGGAGCTGATGAAGCTTAGTCCTGAAGAGCTACTGCTTCGCTGGGCCAATTTCCATCTGAGAAAAGTTGGCATGGAGATATCAAACTTTTCTGGGGATATAAAGGTGAGACAGTTCCTCACAATGTTAATTCAATAACCCACATCTCAACGAGCATCTGGATGAGTGTGCTCTGTGCATTTCTCCACAGGACTCGAAGGCGTACTTCCACCTGCTGGAGCAGATTGCTCCCGATGGCAGTAAAGAGGACGTTCCCCGGATTGACATTGAAATGGCGGGTTTATATGTGAGCGACTCCACTTTGTTGTTCAGTTTCAGCTCTGCTGAAGCTTTTTAACTGGCTTTCAAGGTTGAGTTTCAGCTGACTTCCTGTTTAGTCTCTACCCGCTTCCTAAAGAATAATTTTAGGATAATTACATCATACTGGTGTGATCTACAAGATCTACATCAGACAATAAAACTTCTCTTTTTCCTCTTTACCTTTGACCAGCAAAATTAGAACTCCGAGATCTTGATTCTACTGACTGAAAAGAGGACCAGAGACCAAAAAAAAATCCATACATTTTTATTGCAGTATTCCACTCTTGAGTGGCATTTTCTTCCTAAATTTCCTGATTGTGGTGGCAGGTGTGACTGATTTATATATTTCCTTAGTGATTGTTAAATAAGAAATCCAAAAGTCTTTAACCACCCAGGCACGAAAACTGAGGCCTAATACAGTACATGCGGTATACATGTAGTTAGTGATCAAAACAATATCTTAGCTTGCATTTTTATTATTTTTTATTATTTAGTTTTATTTATTTTTTTATTTTTAGCTGCAGCGAGAGGGGGTGGGGGGGGGGGTGTATTGGGTGATTTTGAGTGTTAGCATGCACCATTTTTGGATGTTGGGAGGAAGCTAGGGGGCTTTTTTTAAAATCTTTCGAAATAATGTAATCTACATGCAAGAGCTGCTTATTTTTTATCTTCACTCTTTATTTGTCGCTCAAGATCCAGTTGCTCATTCACATTTAAAAAATGGCCAGATATTTTATTTATATTCTGAAAATTCTTAAAAACTCTAAATGACAGGTTTCCCGCATCATTTGATCGAGGATGATAGAGAAAGTATAAAAATTTTTGTTTGCAGGAAAAGGACCTCACAAAGAGAGCAGAGTGTATGCTGAAAGAGGCTGACCGTCTGAAATGCCAACAGTTTGTAACTGCCACCGATGTTGTAACTGGAAACGCCAAACTCAATTTGGCCTTTGTGGCCACACTCTTCAACAAGCACCCGGCTCTCACTAAACCGGAGAACCAGGACTGGAATCTTGAAAGTGAATGTGGTGGAGATAATCTTAGCCTTTCTTTTTATTTGTTAACATTTAACCTGAGTTGAATCATTTTTCAATCTGCTAGGTGAAACCAGGGAGGAGAGAACCTTCAGGAACTGGATGAATTCTTTGGGAGTCAGTCCACATGTTCACTATATCTATGGGTGAGTTAAAGTCTGTGGCTCCCTGATGCCCATTTTACTGCCTGGATACAACACATCTGTGTGTGCTTACTCAGGGATCTGCAGGATGCCATGGTGATTCTTCAGCTGTATGAGAAGATTAAGGTGCCAGTGGACTGGAATAATAGAGTCAATCTTCCTCCATTCAAGGCAGTAGGAGGAGGCCATTTAAAAAAGGTTAATGCACAAATAATTTGTCAGACATTATGAACAGGTTTGTAGATAAAAAAGATTTCCCATATTAGTAATTGATTGGCTTAATTTAAAACATAATGTTTGATTTTTCGGACCTTGCTTAGACATAATGTAAAGTCCAAAGGAAAGCACCAAAAAAATAATTGATGGAGAGATATTTGACTATTTCATGAAAAAGTATTAACTAAATCTAATGGTGACTGATGGGGGAGCAGTCATACCGATGCAGTTTGAAAGGTTTCAAACACAAATTATTGTCCTATCTCTTTTAGGAAAGGACTTTTCAAATTTAAACCAATACTATTATTATTATTAATATTACTCTTATTAATTATATCAGGAAGGCTTCATAGCAGAAGAGTTCAGGAGCTTGACTGACATCCTTGCATTCAAAATTAAAATTTGAATACAAATATATTTTATGAAATATTAACAGGATAAAATTTTTACCCTTTAAAGCCTTACCCAAGAAAAAAATCTATTAAAAATAATACTTTCTTTGATCTTTGATATTACAAGTCTTTGTTAGTTTCTTTAACAAAACCATCCATCCATCCATCCATCCATCCATCCATCCATCCACCCATTTTCTATATTGTTTATTCACAATGGGGCCGTGTGGTGGGCTGGAGCCTATCCCCAGCTGCCAGTCCATTGCAGGGCAACACAGAGACAAACAACCAAACAGACACATATACACTCCTCAGGGCAATTCGGAGTGTCTAACTGACCTAACACACATATTTTTGGACGGTGGGGGTAAGCCAGAGTAGCAGGAGAGAAATTTCTCTAATGGAATAATCTGGTCATTCGGTATATTGAGATAGACAAGCCTACCTCAGGATGTTGCTGAAGCTTGACCTGAATCATTGCACCATCCCCAGATCACAGCACTGCCCCAACATTAGTTCTACTGTTGTTTTTCTATGACATGATTCCACCAAATGCTTGGGTGATTTCTGAGTAGGGATGCAAACGGTTAACCGACTTTAGATTGTCGATCAAGAGGTTGCTCGATCAAAATGTATTAATCACGTTTAACCGCTAGAGGGTGCTAGCGCTTTACTGTAACTTGAACACAGCGTGAGAACGAGAACACGCCTCGTGTCGCGAGAGAGACCAGGGTTGAAAACAAAACGAAGCGGGCGAAAAGAAGTGCGATGTGGGACCACTTCAATATTGTTAATTCAGGCAAAGAAGTCAAATGTTCTCTTTGTAATGTGGTATTGAAATACAACAGTTCCACTAGCTCACTCAGTTATCATTTGAACACTGTGCATGCTGCTGTCTTGCATGGCACCACCAGTTCACCTGGTCAACCTAAAATCACAGCTTAAGATTTTGTTTTACCTTAAAAACGTGTCTGCTTTCTTCTCCTAATGCATAATTACTTGAGGAATGTATAATATAATACAATATAATTATGGTATCATAATATTGGCTAATGTAATATAATACCTCAATTATATTAAGGCCCTATTGAAGCCCTGAAACTCAGGTGAAAAACGCCGCTTATCAATTAATCGAAAGTCGATCGATAAGATAATCAACTAATTAATGAATTAATCGATAATTTGCATCCCTATTGCTGAGCGCAAAGAGTCAGGAGTTTTTTCAACCATTTCTTCTTTAAAAACAGCCATCTTTTTAGATATTTTCTCTGCTTGATGCCAATGATTTGCTCCTTCTCAAGCAGACTGACTGCTTTTCCTCGACCACAGGATGCGTTTTCCAAAATGTAGTTATTTGAAATGAGAAGGCGCTCACTTCTTCCAGCAGGGTTAGATCATAAATGTTGCAGTAATTATCCATTGGGTATCTCTAACTTATTTGCTTGGTTAAAATCCAGGTGGTGACCTATTTTTTAGCCTGGTAATCTGTCAACATTGTGTAATATGTGTCTGTGCAACAGATTGAGAACTGCAATTACGCCGTGGAGCTGGGTAAGAAAAAAGCAGGGTTTTCTCTGGTAGGAATTGGCGGTCAGGACCTGTACGACGGAAACACGACTCTAACCCTGGCCCTGGTGTGGCAGCTGATGAGGAGGTGATTTCTTGGTTTACACTTGGGTTGTGGGGGATGCAGTTAAGCCTAGAACAGGGAGAGGGCGCTGTTTAATTAGGATATAAATTTAAGGTGCAAGAGCATCCCAGCAAATCCTTAGAAAATAAATCCTAACCTGGGCTTCTTTTGATGCTGTAGATATAGCCAAAATGTCAGAAACACATACTCTCTTGGCTGTATTTTACTTACAAGTCCTGTTTATTTTCCAACATTCAATGCAGGTACACTCTAAATGTGCTAGAAGACCTTGGGCATGGAGAAGTTGCTGGAGATGATTTGATTGTTTCCTGGGTGAACAAGACTCTAAAAGAAGCAGGCAAGAGTTCAACTATCAAAAGCTTTAAGGCAAGTCGTAAAAACAACCAGAGGAAAACCATTTAACTCTCGCATTGTCTTCACTTTTACTATACATTACTGCATTAATTCTCCATGTTCTGTTTTCACCAAGTGAACAGGGACAAATTTATCTCATTACCCAATTTTTCTGTTTCAGCTTTTCATTGAACTTGTTTCCAACACATTACAAATTTCTAACACTATTTTTTTGTAATGTGTATTATATTACAAAAAAGTAATAGTTTGAAAATAATTTCATTTTTAAGAAACAAAAAGCTTAAATGCAGATTTTATTTCACCCTGGTTATTATAAGTGATTCACTGGTAGATGGGAAAAACACAGACTGGCACATGTCGAAGTTTAGTCAGAATACTGAGTAGATTTGACAACATTTCAGTATTTTTTAACAGCAGCAAATTCGTCCTATCAGGTCAAACTGACTCTTTTTTATATAGCAAGTACAAAATGATTTTACAAATCGTGTTATACTTTTTAGTTGACCTGTTTTGCAAAACGATAATATGCTATACAGATAATTTTGACTTGACTGGACCACCACCAATTTTACATCCATTTAGGAAATGTGTTGTTAAAAAAGACCTAATTTACATGAAATTCTCAAAATTTTTGGGGTAAAAAACCCAGCAGTAATTCTGAATCATTTTTATATAGTGTGGATCAGATGCACATATGTTGATGTATTATGACTGACAGGTATATGTCACAGTTTAATAAAAGTTTTTAAAAGTATTTTATCCATGTTTTTATAGAGAGAAACAACAGTTATGATATATCAATTTTTGGAATGGGTCAAATTGTACCAAAGACAACAGGCGGATTAGAAAAAAATGTTTTCTAAGTTTAGTTTGTTATCAAAACTGTGGACATGAGTTTGCCGAGTGTTTTCTTCTATTTAGGACAAAGCAATCGGCACCAGTCTCCCTGTTCTGGATCTGATTGACTCCATCCAGCCGCAGAGCGTGAACTTTGACCTGGTGAAAATACACGAGCTTTCAGATGAAGACAAGCTGGACAATGCAAAGTAATGACCCCCTTCACTTCTATCAGCAACACATCAGTAATAAACGTATGTCACAATTGCCATAGTGACCCTCATGACCCCACCCCTACACTTAGGTACGCCATCTCCATGGCGAGGAAGATTGGTGCTAAAGTCTATGCCCTGCCTGAGGACTTGGTCGAAATCAACCCCAAAATGGTGATGACCATCTTCGCCTGCCTGATGGGCAGAGGCATGAAGAAGGCATAAAGGAGATGCATAGAGAGGGGACGCTGCTGTACTGCGCCGTTATTTGAAGTGGCTTTTACTTTGTCTTTGCAAGATTAGAAGTGAATCCTTGCAGCATTCATAACTTTAACAACGTGGATCTACAGGGGATTCAAAAGGAGTTACGATTTCACTGTAAAATGGTGAATGATGGTAAAAAGTCCACACAATGTTTTAGGCTTTAGGACTTTTAAGCATTTAGGTTTGCTTTGGGCTTTGGTCAAGTAACAACAGTCCCATGCTGCTCATGCGCATGAAAGTCAGAGTGTACGTGTTTCTCCACGTTGGCAGCCAGTGCAAAATTTCCCAGTGCATGCTGGGAAACATGCAGTTAGTGAGAAACAGCCTCTCGAGAAATCTTTAATTGTAAAAGCTTAGATATGTGGGGACTATTATATACAATAACCACTGTTTTTTTTAGCAGAAAGTTTTTGTCTGCTGATAGGGTTTAATTTCCTTTGCCTCTTTGTTTTTCTGCCCCTCCCTCCAGCTTATCCATACTGTTTATCAGCTGCATTCCCTCAGTTTCGCTGGCGTCTCTGTTCTGCTGTTTGTAATGTTCCGGCCCATTCAGACTGTGAACATTCATTCTGCTTAAGCCATAATAACTCTTAATGAGGACCTTTATCTTTTTTTTTTTTTACATATAGGACCAAAGCTGTCTGATCAGTAATAGACTATTTTCTCTTTGTACCTTAAACTTAATTTTTTTAAATGTTTCCATAACTACTAAGTTGAGTGATTACAGTATATTAATGGACAGTGCAGTTTAAGAAATTTAAGGGATAAAGAATCTATGCAAATTTATTAAGTAACCTTTTTTGTGTTCCAGAGTCTAGATTCTACTAGAAAACTCAAAGACTCCAAGTTATATTCCATTCAATCAATGTAGCCCTCATGTAACCTTGCTGACTACTGAACAGAAAGATGAAAATCAACCAGACTTCAATCAAGTCAATCAAGACTTTGATAAGAACTTGATGATTGGAGTATACACAGCTCCTGCCACAATATTAGGGGCTCATTTAGTTTTTTCCTCCTTCTTCATACCTCCTCAACATTTAAAACCTTGTCTGACAATAAATTCCAATCATTTGACTTTGACCATTGTACTTTAGTTGCTATCATGACTGCAGTGTGATTTTTCTGTGTGAATCTATGATCAAATTCAGACTAAATTTCAAGCAATGTATCAACTAAGAGGATTTTCTTTTCTGTCATGACATATTTCTTTTTACTGCCCCCACTTATTTCTTTTCTTCAGGACCTATTGTCACTTCTGCTGTATCTTTTAAAAATCAATGTATACGGCCAGATCTCTTGTGTTTAATAAAAGCAGTTTTTGAGACAAGGTGTGATTCTTAAAAAAATGTAATTTCTTCCCTTAGAATCTAAGTAATTGTAATAAAACAATTAGAGGGAGCTCTAACACCACAACAGCAGCTGAGGATAGCTGAAAAGGAAGAGAAGCACAAGCTAGTTACAACAAAAATGGCACGTACAAGGGGAAAAAAAGGAAAAAGAATGTCTAGGCCTATAGCAGCAAAGCTATGGAATGTTTCACTGTCCCCTGAGCCATCGCTACCTATAAACTTTATGAAAAAGGAGAGTTTGAAGACAAAATTTAATGGAAAAGACTGTGTCTACTTCCTCAACTCAAACTGTTACCTGGTTCCACAGAGAATGTCCTGATAACTGTGGGCTCTGCGTCCCACTCTACTTTTGGAAAGTCTAGAAACCACAAGTAGACCTGCATAGTCTACCTACATAGTCTGATAGTCTGAAGTGCTTTAGCATATGATGTAGCGTGGTCATTCAGAGCTTTTTATGTTATGCACAGAATTTAAATTTCAATGCTGAATTTAAAAGGTAGCTAAACAGAAAACAAGCTAAAATTAGAGAAATATAATATCTGCCTTTAGTTATTACTCTGGCTGCTGAATTTACGATCTACAGGATTCATTAAAGAGATTACTTTTTTTTCATTATAGAGATTTTTAGATACCGACCAATAATAAAGAATTACAGTAGTCCAACCTTAATTAATAAATGCTTGCTTAATTTCTGTGCATCACACTGAGACAGGATGTCCCTAATTCTTGCAAAATTGTGAAAGTAAAATGAACACAAATCCATTAAAACAGATAATAAAACAATAAGGCTTATCTGTGGGTAAATTTTAAGATTAGAGGTGGGTATAAAGCCTCTGGACAGCACTATGGATTGTTTGACATCAGGTTGTATGAATTCTATATGTTTTTCTCCACACTCCATGGTGTTTGCCAGCTGTAGAATGTGTTTATGCAATAGCTCAGACCATTATGTTGTTTTTTTTCAGGAGCAAAAACACAACGGCGGAATAACTGGAACAGGTTAATCTTATTAACCAAAAAAAAGTGTCTGAGTTACCATGTGAACGGTATTGTTGATGTCATCATAATAATGCAGAACGGTAGCTATTACGCTTCCAAAAATTATGTGTGCTCATCAGAACTTAGGGGGAAAAAAACACCTTTAAGCCTTGATCATGCTCCCATATTTCTTATGTGAAAACAATGCTGTTCTAGCCCAGTGGTAAATTCTAATGTTTTTTAAGGAGCATATTTTGGAAAAAAAAAAAGTCCTTCAATTACATTGCATATACCAATTCATCTCTATAGACTTGTGCTGGTGTAAAGATTAAGACATGTCTATATCTCAATAACCAGGAGAATGGATTCACTTAAAAAGACCCATGTGGTTCAGAGGCCACTTCACATAAGGTTTTTTAATTTAGATGAGCTTGTACATAAAAAGCGAGCACACAAACACACTCTCACACAGACAATTTACAATTTAAATGATTCTTTTCAAGTGGTCATGTGATCATTCCTTTTGCCGGTTCCACTTGTTCGCTCCATCCAAGATGTCATCTGTATGCTCCTCTGTTGTTTGTGGCGACAGTCTGTGAGATGGGATGCAGCTAAATCACAGATGAGAAATGGATCGATGGATTGAACAACTGCACGCTGGGACAACAGAAAATTTATCAGGTTTGTTCCCACCTTTCTGCGTCTCCCTCTCATGATCTGCTATTATTACTACAGGGCAGCCTGTTGCTATGCGACCTGATACAGCAAAACCTCATATTGGATGACCTTTTTTCAATGTGGTGGTCGCCATTGTGTGCTGGCTTTAGACATGTGTGTGTATGTATAAGTCCTCTTTCATACAGAATGCTTATTTATCACCCTTTTGCTTGGTAGCTTTGTGTTTTGAAAATAAATTAACGTTTTCTATGTTCTGTGTGTAGAATGACAGGCCCAGAGTTGGATTCACACAGGTTGTCTGTAAAAACATGGATGGACGAGGAGAGTGATCGCCCTGAAAGTACACTTAGCAGGTAAAACACACAATCAATCTTTTTTCAGAAGTTATATTCTTGTACGTATAGCTAAACTATCAATTAAATGTAATTACTTATGTGTGTGTTAAAGAGATTCGTCCTTTATTTGTCCTTTATGCTGCTCATGTTGTGGGGTTTTGTGAATTTCTTTGATGTTTTACCTAATTATCTATCTGCCTGTCTATTCAAAGATTTGAAAATGTAACACTGATGAATTTTAAATAGAATATCATAGTTATTTTTTTAATTACTGAAGTTTTTGTAGTGCTTTTGCAAGTTTTGTTTTCACTTGCTTATTCTTTATTACAGTTCTAGTTCTAGATGTTTCCTTGTTTTTCTATTTGTTAGATTTTTTCTAACATTCCTGTTACCCATCAAAACATGTTTTCATAATTTTGCTTTTCTTACCAAAATTCCTCAATGTATAGTGTTAACAGTGAAAGTTAAAGTATGATGGGATGTTTTTGGTGTAAATCTTTAGAGGACAGTCGATATGTGATGACACCTCTTCAGAGCTGCAGAGAATGGCAGCCATTGAAAGGAGGGACATGAATTCACAGAATTCCTTTCGGGGGCGTGGGGCTTTGTCCAGGTATGAGAATTCGGCATCCAGATATTCAGTGATTTTGTATATTAAGTCATAACACATCTGATTGAACCCAACAATAATTGGGGTTACTGTCTGTCCTCAGGATAGTCAGTATGGTGATGACACTGAGAGAGTGGGCTCAGAAAAGTTTAACAGAGGAGACAGAGCGACCAGATTCGTTTTTGGAGCGTTTCAGGGGTCCTGCCAACATGGAAATGCAGGCCCCATCCAGTGGGTTTAGCCACAGCAATGCAGGGTCCAACACGGAGAATGAAATCAGACACTCCAGACGCAAGTAACAAAACATGAACATGTACTGCGAAAATTAACTTCCACAGTGTCAGCTCACACTCATGTTACCTTCTACTATTCTTTCTTACACTCTCTGTCAGGAGGAGGATGTGTAACGTTGTGGTTCTGGCCCCATCTGATGATACCTACTACCACTGGCTGATAGTGATTGGCACTGCTGTTTTTTATAACTGTACCCTTTTAGTTGTCAGGTGGGGATATGATTTTATGAATTGCAGCTCTACCCTAAAGTCTTTCTCACATGTATATAACATGCTAATACACTGTTATTAAACTGCAATTTAAGTTGTTATTACACCAGCAACTACATTCCAACTGCACCAAAAAGAGTTTTGCTTGTAATTTCCTCTTTGTTCTTATTTTTTGATGCATGTGTCGGCTTTTCCTGGCCGGCACGTTCTTGTCAGGTTTCTGTATTACCCGAGCACGTGTGCATTTGTTGTTCCTATTTTCTTTAGGTTGGTGGTTATTGTAATTTCCTACCACACAGCCTATTTTGTAATGAACATTTTTGTTACTTTTTTTTTTTTTTTTTGTAGCTGAAATCTGAACCAAGCCCAGAACCAAATATTCCCTGTCCCATAAGTATTTGGAACTATCTTTTAAATGTCTTTTGAGCCTTTTTTATGCATACATTGGTTTGAATGCATCTAAATGCATCTCTCTACATTTACCTCTTGAATAGCCAAAAAGGGTTCTGCACTAAGCACATCAGGTAATCTAGCTGGCTAGAACATAATGTTGATTTTGTTATTCTGTAAACACTCAAGTGTAACTGTGTTTCGGATAGTCAATGAGCTGGCATTCTCCAGAAACCTTTTCAGACAGTATTTTGTTGTATCTACAAAGATTGATGGTGTCATCTCCAACAATCCTCTTAGGCGTGTTTATTTGTTTGTTTTAGTTGTTTTGCTCTAAGAAAACCCCAAATTATCACGCTTCCAGTTCTGTGTCTGTCACAGTTTATGAGAGATTTGAGAATGCAGATGCATGCAAGGAGTAGGCAGGAGACAGGCGATAAATTGACATTTTTTACAACAACAAAGACTTGGCCAATAACCTAGAGCAGAAACTTGGACATGGAAAGCAGGGAATAAGACAATGTGAGGATCTACTAAGGACTAAGGAGAGAAACCAAGAAGCTGGAAAACAGAGGAAGGTTGATTTAACATAGACTAACAACCCTGCAACCACTGTTGCACATGTGTAAACAGTTAGTTATATTAGGGTGCATGAATTTGGCCTCAGCATTCTAATTTAAAGTTGCACTGAAATGATTCATCATTATGACTCAAACTCTTGTCATAATAACAAAAATGCCCCTATAGTATAGCTACACCTTTCCAAATAAGGTATGAAGGAAGTAGTTTGATCTTTTACTCATCATCAAACATTTGTGCAGACTTGCATGAAGTTGTGATTATCTTCATCTCAGTGTATGTTTTTCTGAAGGGCCTGTTTTGATGAGCTCCAGATGAGCAAGGTTCTGGTCTGGTTGGTTCTGGACTACATCTGTGATGGAGTCTATATCTTGGATATTGCTGTTCGTCTCCACACAGGTAGTTGGGCAAATCTTTATTCTGATGCAGTAGAAACACCCTTTTGGTTCAAAATATAGAATTGATCACATTTGTAGACGTGATTTCTAGATACATAGACTAAACTGATTTAATCTATTATCTGTGTGAAGGTTTCTTGGATCAAGGCTTGTTGGTTAAAGATGTGCGTCGTCTAAGAGAAACCTACGTTGGAACTCTACAGTGTAAACTTGACATCTGCTCCATCCTTCCGACTGATCTCCTGTACCTAATCGTGGGGACCAGCTACACTCCTCTGCTTCGCTTCAACCGCCTGCTGCGGCTACCTCGTCTCTTTGAGTTATTTGAACGAACAGAGACTCGAACAGGTTATCCCAATGCTTTCCGGATCTGTAAGCTGGTCCTATACATCCTGGTCATCATCCACTGGAATGCTTGTGGATACTATAGCTTCTCCAAAGTCCTTGGACTGGGCTCTGATTCGTGGGTCTATCCCAATGCCTCTGATCCTGAATTTGGCTCCTTGGCCCGGAGTTACATTTACTGTCTGTACTGGTCGACCCTGACACTGACCACCATTGGAGAGACACCTCCCCCAGTCAGAGATGAGGAATATCTGTTCTTGATATTTGACTTTTTGGTAGGTCCATTCAAGCCTTATTTGATTTGCACAAAAAAAGTTTAAGATTGTACTGTGTGGGCTCTGCTCTTTAAAACAAATACTCTTTGGTCTGTCCAAGGTCGGTGTGCTGATTTTCGCCTCTATTGTCGGTAACGTTGGATCCATGATCTCCAACATGAATGCAACAAGAGCAACGTTTCAAACTCGCGTAGATGCGCTCAAACACTACATGCACTTCAGACATGTCAGCAAAGTGCTGGAGCAGCGTGTCATTAGTTGGTTTGACTATCTCTGGACCAATCAGAAGACCGTAGATGAACTAGAAGTGCTGAGGAACTTGCCCAATAAACTGAGAGCAGAAATTGCTATAAATGTTCACCTGGACACGCTGAAGAAGGTAAAGACCCTTACATCTCACCACAATAACCTTAAAACTCAAAATGATAAATTCTGATTTTGAAAGTGCTGTGTTGGAACATAGGTGCGCATTTTCCAAGACTGTGAGGCAGGACTTCTTGTAGAATTGGTGTTAAAACTCCGGCCGCAAGTTTTCAGTCCTGGCGACTACATCTGTAGAAAGGTTAGTATAACTTGGTGTTGGTATTATAAAAATGATGCATGATGAGTTGCTACTGAGATGGAGGAAAGTGCTGTCCAAAAATATAATAGTAATCCAATTATTTTCCAGTATCATCATTGAACTAAACTCCTTCAGCTGCTTTATCATTTTATGATGCCTGTTGAATTTATACCTTCACTTGGCTTACAACAACCCAAACTCTTAAAGATTTGGGATGGCATTGACAGATGGCATAAACATTTAAAGCCCAGCTCTATCTTTTTTTTATGTCCTAGAAGATATCCCTAAATAGGAATTAGACAGTAATGCCTTTTAACTCAATTATATTGTCATTCTTTCTCACAACACTTTCTTAGCCTTCATTACAGGTCCTCATCACTATCCTTTAAGGAAGCCTCTCAAATGTTATTGTCCTATTCTACTAGCAAAGTAGTTTTTAAGGCAAGCATAATTTTTGCACTTAACTTTCTTTTTGGTTGGGAACTTATCAGGACTGCAAGCAGTCTGGTACAGTACTGTGTGCAGAATGTGTTTTTTAATTGTATTATTGAATGGGCATGTTAACGTGGCTTTTAAATCTTAATGAATGTCTCTGTATTGAAGCAGACCTAAAACTTTAGCTGAAACTTGTCAAGGGCACTGAAACAATTCCATTTAATCACAGGCTTTTGGACTTGCACATAGCACATTGCATCTATTTCAAGAGATCTGCTATATTGATAAAAGTTTTTACTGTGAGATGATGGATTCTGGATGCTTCCTTTTTCTTTATTTTTCCTGAGATTTCAAATGGGAAGGATTCCATGTGCCTTATTTGCCATTACTGGAATTGCACTGACAGCAAGTTGTTTCCATGCTGTAAGATCTTGACCCAACCTACCAACAGTGACTTTATACTAGGCCTAACCCTAACCCTGCTATACATCCACTTTCTACATGGTTATCAGCAAATTTATATCTTATTTTATGTACTTTAATGATGTCTTAATGAGCTGGATTTAATTACTTCCGTTGCTATGCCTCCCTATTTATAACTTGTATGATCTTGTTCCTTTCTGATGAAATCATAAATTACTTCTAAGTCCTGACCTTGGCTGCTATTCTTTCAAGGGTGACGTGGGTAAGGAGATGTACATAATTAAAGAAGGCCACCTGGCGGTGGTGGGAGATGATGGAGTCACCCAGTTTGCTGTCCTTACTGCTGGGAGTTGCTTCGGAGAAATCAGTATCCTGAACATCAGTGGTAGCAAAATGGGGAACAGACGAACGGCTAATATTCGGAGTCTGGGATACTCTGACCTGTTCTGCCTTTCTAAACAAGACCTGATGGAGGCACTTCAGGAGTTTCCTCATGCCAGGGCCCAACTGGAGCAAAGGGGAAGGGACATCTTGCAGAAGGAGGGGCTTCTGGAGGAGGTGAACATATCTGCAGGGGAAGAGTTGGAGGAGAAAGTGGAGCGGTTGGAAACCAGCCTGGATCGACTGCAGGTCAGTTCTGCTGCTTACTTTCCAGTTATGATTGTGATGACAATTTCTGACCTATAACAATTACTGTTACTCCCAGACATGTTTGGCCCGTCTACAGAGTGAGTTCAACTCAGCCCAGCTTCGCCTGAAGCAGCGACTCACAGCCCTGGAACACAACATCACCACTGTGGCCACTGGCAGTGGCTTCCTGTCAGACGCAGATGGCACTGATAGCGTTTATGGCTGTGACGGTGCACGAAGTGAAATCAACATTCGGCTCTGAAGAATTATTTTATTTCAGTTAAATTCCCTGCCTATATTTTGAGCAGATCATTTTCGTGTGTGGTTGTTTTTTTGGGGTCTTTCTTTATTTCAATTGCTCTTTTTTGTCAATAAAATTCAAACAATACACCAATCCACCCCCGTGACCCCATTAGGGAAAAAGTGGTAACAATAATGGATGGATAGATAATGATGAATAATGATAAATATACTTTAGCTCAATGAGTCATTTTCTTTAGAGAGCTTTATCAAAAGTTTTGTCCTAATCCACTTGGTGATGCTCCTTCCCTGGGCGGTATGTTTAGATTCCTTCATAACTGCTTTTAGAGGAAGCACTTAAAAAATGGTTTGAACTTTTGAGATATGTCAACAACTAATCTCACCCCATAAGTTTCAAACTGCTGCTTTAGGAACATTCAGTATCACATGTTTAGTTTTGTAAATAAACAATGTATTGCCTCTGCTAAGAAGTGCGTGTGTGTGTATTTGTTGATAATGGCATCACACCCATAATGTGGTAACACTATAACCAAGGTCATGTTATCAAGTAACTGTGGACCAAAGTCCAGCACCGCACTGTTATACATTTTCAGGAAGTGACTTCAGAAAGCGGTGAACACGTATTAAAAAGGTAAAATAATCAGTTTTAGTCCTTTGTGGTTTCTACGTACTAGCACTTTCACTCTCTTCTCTCATCTGCATGTTTTTCCTTTTGTTTCAGTTTAGTTTCCTTGTACATGGATCTGTTTTGTTCCTCTTTTGCCTTTTATTTGTGTCTGTTCTGGTCTGTGTCAACTGAATCAATTCACAGAGGTTAGAGGGTTTTTCCTTGTTAGTCTGCCCTTATTAAGGACTGATTAACTTCATTATTTTCTTTGATTGTATTCCATACATGCACTCATACAGACACACACTGCTATGTTTTGTACATTAAAATGATTGTTTACATTTATACTGTGTTTCAGAAATGGAAATCTACATGTTGTTATGCTGCATGCTGGTAGCTTATGTGACACCAGTTTTTGCAGAACAAGTGAGGCAGGTGAGATGATATATAACCCAGTTATTTGTAGTTTTAGTTCCCATCCATTCAACGGCACAACACATACGTCAACTCAGATTTATTATGAAAATGTATATGAATAGATGGCTTAATAAAACTCCTTTAGCTTTTGATAATCTTTAATAAAAATTGTGCCTTTGCTTTATCAGCCTGGTTTCATGGAGAGCATCCTGCTGTCAATCCACCAGCGTCCCTGGCTCATGGGTGTTTATGTCATTGTTGTTGGACTTCCGATCATACTCTTCATCAGCTTCATGTGGCCTGACAAGGTAAAGTGGGAAAGTGTTAGGGTCCCTCTGTTTAAAAATGTATTGTGCGAAAACAGGATAAATGTACCACGAAATGTTCAAATATGTGCTGCAAGTATATTCTCCAACAAAGCCTGAGCTCTCATGGATATTCTTTATTGTAATTTTTGTATGTAGTTTTCAGGATTAAACTTTTGTTATGGACATCCTAAAACTCTTCAATTTTCAATTCAATTCAATTTTATTCATATAGCGCCACATCACAACAACAGTTGTCTCACAGCGCTTTCCAAACAGAGCAGGTCAGACCCTACTCTGAAGTTAACTACAGAAACCCAACAATTCCCACCATGAGCAAGCACTAGGCGACACAGGCAAGGAAAGACTTCCTTTTAACAGGCAGAAACCTCGAGCAGAACCATGGCTCAGGGTGGGCAGCCATCTGCCTCGGCCGGTTGGGGGTGAGGGAAAGAGAGGGCAAGAGAGAGAGGGCAAGAGAAGGACAGAGGGAGCCGAGAGAGGCAGCCAACACAGCAACACATAGACTGGATGAAAAATGGCAATGATATTAATACTAATGATAATGGTAGAAGTTATGACAGCAATAAGACTATGCAGAGTAGTAGCAGAGCAGGAACACAGGGGCAGCAGGAAACTCCCAACCACAGATCCAGACTCCACAGCTCTAGGAACACCTGCAGGAACTGATAGGAGGAGACTCCCAACCACAGATCCAGACCCCACAGCTCCAGAGCCAGGAATATCTGCAGAAAGTGATAGGAGGAGAGAGGAGAGAGAAGGGGGACGAGAAAGCACACGACTACGGGGAAGGGAGAGAGTCCAGTTAGTAACATTTTTAATGGAATGAGGTTGCACTGGGAGGGAAAGAGAAAGGAGAGGGCAGCTTGGTGCATCATGATGCTTCCCTCGGCAGTCTAGGCCTATAGCAGCACAACTAGGGGTGGACTTACCCTAACTATAAACTCTATCATAAAGGAAAGTCTTAAGCCTACTCTTAAATATAGAGACGGTGTCTGCCTCCCGGACCCAAACTGGAACCTGGTTCCACAAAAGAGGACTCTGATAGCTGAACGCTTTGGCACCCATTCTAGTTTTCAAGACTCTAGGAACTGCAAGTAACACTTCATTCTGGGAGCGCAGTTCTCTGGTAGGGGAGTAAGGTACTAAGAGCTCTTTAAGATAAGATGGGGCCTGACCATGAAGAGCTTTGTACGTAAGGAGAAGGATTTTAAATTCTATCCTGGATTTAACAGGAAGCCAGTGCAGAGAAGCAAAGACAGGAGAAATATGATCTCTTTTTCTGGTTCCTGTAAGAACATGTGCTGCAGCATTCTGGATCAGCTGAAGAGTCTTAATGGACTTTTTTGAAGAGCCTGATAGTAGGGAGTTGCAGTAATCCAGCCTAGAAGTAACAAATGCATGGACTAGTTTTTCTGCATCATTTTTACACAGGATGCTCCTTAATTTGCGATATTACGAAGGTGAAAGAACTCTTCTTTAGATGTTGGCTACCTTTTGCTCCGCTCTCTGTCTGATGAGCTTCAATTAATAAATATTATTGTGGTCCAGACTCTTTTGAGGATTTATCCCTCCATCAGACCACTGATTTTTAGTCAATTGCTCTGCCTATATTTGCCTTCCCTAGGCATGGCTTCATAGAACCACACTTACATTAAGAGCGTTTCAGCTAAATGACGCATCCCTCAGGTCCTATGCTAGGTCTTTGCTTGATTCTTACCTAATTACATCATTTTCAGATCCTCTTTATCTGCTGCAGGCAGCTTTTTAGGCCAGCCACTTTTTCTTTAGCTCTTCACATGTCTGCCTTCCTCCCATTTTCAGTTCAGGGTTTAAAAAATAATATAATCTCCAGCCATGTCTTTTAGACATATTTTGTACAAACTATTCGAGATATGGGAGCCAGTTATGCATTTTTATGACTGGTTGCCTGTAACAAGTTTTCTTTCATATGTAAACAAAACTGATTGTTTTTTTTTGTTTTTTTTTCAAACATTTTTATTAGTTTTGTGTTTTCACAAACAGAGAAAAAAAATAAAAATTGTACACTGTGCAAGCAGTTTCCTTACATGAGTATGGGACATAAAACAAAAACCAACAGAAGAAAACAAACAAACACAAAGGGCAACATAAAAAAAATAAAAATAATAATAAGTAAATAAATAAAAGGAAGCCGCCATACAATGTCACATTCCAGTTATATCATGTCTCTAATGGTTGCCAAACATTAACATATTGAAGAGCCTGATATCGAAACAATCATAACTAGCCAGGTGATCAAAAAAAAGAAAAAAGACACATAGTAATACCGAAGGAGGATGTACATTAGTTGTGACCTGGTGAAACCTTCCACTTTATAGAAGTCTGACCTCTCATCACAAGTTGTGTCAGCTCTTTAGGCAAATAGCTTAACACAGGAGACCACATATCAATGAAATGCTTCTCATTACCTTTAAGAACTGCACTGGGCCGCAGCTATAGCCTAATGGCTAGAGCGGACGGCCCATATGCAGAGCGTCTGCTCGCAAGCGGGCGGCCTGGGTTCGATTCCAGCCCATGGCCCTTTCCCGCAGGTCTCCCCCTCTCTATCTCTGCCCCCTTTCCTGTCAAGCTACTGTCATTAAAGGCCACTAGAGCCAACAAAATCTTTAAAAAAAAAAAAAAAAAAAGAACTGCACTAAGCCTTTCATGAGGGAGGACCCTAAATATTTCTCTATACCATTGTGTGATAGTTGGTGGTTTATCCTTAATCCAATTAATTAAAATACATTTTCTAGCTAAGAGTAGTAATTTGTCACAGAGTTTAAAGTGCAATTGTGTCAGAGTGACTGATTTTGAAGGGAGGCCAAGAAGAAACAGACCTGGGTCACATCTGATTCTTACATGAAATATGTCGCTTAGCTCTTTAGAAATTGCACCCCAGAATCGCTTAATCAGTCTGCATTGCCAGAAATAATGGTAATATGTTCCTACCTCTCTTCCACATTTATTGCACATGGGAGAGAGCTGGCGATCCATCTTATTGAGTATAAAAGGTGTTATATGTAGACGATGTAGTATTTTATACTGTGTCTCTCTGAGCGTATTACATATAAAGGTTGACTTGACCACATTAATGGCTTCTTGCCAGTCATCCTCAATGTACGCTGTGCCAAGATCTCCCTCCCATTTCCTTGCAATGTCCCCAGTACCACCTGGGGTAAGAGAGTACAGGACTGTGTAGAAAGCGGAGATAAAATGCCTAGGATTATGCCGGTCGACAAGGAACCTCTCAATCTCATTGGGCATGACCAAGCCAGAGTGAGAAAACCTCATAGAACCAATGAAATGGCGAATTTGGAGAAATCCAAAAAAGTGTTCTTTAGGGATACCAAATTTTGTCTGCAATTGTTGAAATGTCATGAGTATATTTTCTGTAAACAGATCTCCGAACAAAACTGATTGTTGATGTAAGTTAGTTTTTAAGCTTGAGTGATTCATTGGCCACTGTTGTGTGATGTAAAAAGAATAATTAATGGGAGAAAATCCAATCAACGTCCAAGAAAGACTGAAAAGTTAAAGATGCCTGGTGAAATGACTACTTTGACCTGAAGAATGAAAACCTGCCTGCTCAGGAGCAAAACTCTAAATAAATGAGGCATGGCTTTAGACTTCTTCATACTACTTTGTGGATGTATATTTTGTTGTAGGATAATCATTAAAACATTTTACCGTGTGATAAAATGTATTTAAAAAAACTGTAATTGCGTGCTTTGTTTTTATAAAGAGGTTTGGACCACCAGACCAACCTTATTACTACAAGAAATCCGATGATGTCCAGCCAGATGATCAAGAACTCTCACCACTGAGAAGTTCAGCAGAAGTCAGAGGTACCGTGTTATTCTTAGATAAATATTATTGTGGAATAATCTTTCATTAGGTGAAATATAACTCCACCGTGTGATAATCTGGACACCTTTTGTTTGACATTTGTTGCTAAAATTAAGCAGTATTTTCACTAATTTCCCTGTAAAAACAAGCTAACAACAATCTACATGTTTTTTTTCTGAAATTGCTAAGTTAAAATCTCTATGAAAAGAGAGAAAATGCTTTTGTGAAATGCAAAAAAAAGTATCTCTGAATTCTTAAAAGCTAACATGCTGTGTTTCCTGGGGGATTTTGGGTGTTTTGTCATGTCTTGGTCTTGTCATTTCCTGTTTTATTTTGGTACATCCCCTCATTTCAGGTCACTTGCACTTTATTGTGCACTTGTCTGATTGTCTCCCCTAATCCCTGATTGTGTTCACATGGGGTTCCCTTCCCTTCATGTGTTTAAATAGTCTGCGTTTCTCCTTGTCTCGTGCCAGTGTGTTTCATTCTAATGACCTATGTTACTGTGCTTGAACCTTGCCCTTGAATTTCTCTTCCTGAATCTCCATGTTTTTCCTCGTCTGAGTGATTATTATTTCGTACTTCATTCTTTTTTCAGCCTCGATTTTGAGTGAGTATTATTTCGTACTTTGTCCATAGTTTTGGGTTGCCTTGTAAGAGATGATTATTTGGTACCTTGTTCATAGCTTTGTCTGCCTCGATTTGAGTGATTATTAATTGTTAATTTCCTAGCCTTTCTGCCCTCATTTTGAGTGATTATTATTTTTGTACTTCACCTTGCGATTCCGCTCCCCGCGAGTGCCCCTTGTTTAATTAAAGTCCTCGTTTTGCCAATTCTCTGCGCCTGAGTCCTGTCTTGAGCCCCGTCCTGACATAATGCATATTCATAAAGATAAAAATTAGACATCTGTGATGACTAACCCTTATTTCAGATACCTGAAATGGTGACAAAACTTGATGGCAGCCTTCTGTGTATTCATGTTTGCAGGATCACGAATCAGTGAAGGTACCTCAGAGGTGGAAGCATCATCATTTCAAAAAAGGGTGGTGTACAAACGTTGAGGATCAGTGAACTACGTTGTGGGGTTTGTTTACCCAGACCACACAGCATCAGTGGATTTGAGGTGGATCATATATTGTGAATAGATGAAACGGAGGATTTTATACATTGCAATGAAGTTCAGTTTACCTGGGGGAAAAAAAAAAAGCTAAACTGAAAAAAATGGCCTAAAAGAGTATGTCTGAATGTCAAATGTAAAATATTAGAATGTTGAAATCATTCCTAAGATACTACTCTTGCATCCTAACAGTTTCTGTTTTTGTGTATGAGTCAGACCACTTCATTATATTTGAGCTTTACACTCCAGTCATGTATTATTAATAAAAATCAATTTAACACAAAAATGGTCATGTTTTGTTCATAGTTTACTGCATCTCACTCTAATTTTGTAGATGGGTCTCTGTTTAGATTTAGATGAGATCAAACGTTATTGATCCCTTTGGGAGAATTCCCTCAGTGAAATTAAGATTTCAGCAGCAGCATCATACAGCACAAACAGAGGATATACAAAAGTATCAAGAAACATATACCATAAAGAATAAAATGAAAACGTCTGGCAGGTAAGATAGTGCACATTGGTATAATAAAAACTACCCCCCCACAGTTGAGATGCTGATATTCAAACACAGATCAAAGATGCAATAATAATAATTGTTCTACCGTTGATATAAATTTCTTATATGGGTTGGGACGGTGGCATGGTGGTTAGCACCATCGCAAGAGGGTTCTGGGTTCGAGTCCCTGGGGGAACCAAGACATTTCTGTGTAGAGTTTGCATTTTCTCCCTGTATCTGCATGGGTTCTCTCCGGGTACTGCGGCTTTCTCCCACAATTCAAAAACCTGCATGTTAGTATATACATAACATAAATAACGCTGGCGAGACAGATAGCAAACTCTGGGAACAATAGACTTATGATGATACCCAGAAGAGGATCAAAGCAAGCTAGACACAAAGAAGTGTTTGGACAGAGAACAGTCTGCAGGGTAAAAGGAGAGCGATGACCGAAACCATGTGTGGATTGCAGGAACAGAACAGCGAATAATCTGCTAACCACAAACAGCTGTAGAACAAACACTGGAAGCAATTCTGAAAGATATGAGAAAGGGATATATATATATTCAATGATAAGATAATATTTTGTTTAAATATGTTAATAGATGAGCATTCTTGCATCAAATGACATTTTTCATATGCTAGAAGTATTCACTTCTAGCATAATAAGATCTAATTTTGTTGGTATTCATAATGATACTGGAGCTCTATTATTTGCTTTTGGAGAGTCAGACAGTCTCTGTAACATCTGTTTATATAGAAAATCCCTAAAGATGTTGATTATTCAACAGAACAATTATTAGTGTGCATTCTAACCCTCTTACAAAAATTAAGTCTCAACTGTTCTGCTTGATGTTTCTCTTCTTTCATGGAAATGTATGTGTCGTTGTTCTCCCTGATGCAAAATGTGACCTTCTTTGATATTTACCTTCTCTCAACGTTTATTTGAAATGTTTTAAATCTGCTAATCAGCGAAAGTACCACTTTAGTATTTAATTGCACTCTCAAAGAAAGGACTGGCAAGAGTACATGCAGACCAATTGCATATTAAAGTGAAAACACTTTGAACAATAGAGGAGGAGGGGGACAAAAACACAGATGGCACCATGCTAATCAACTACATCTTGTGGGCATTGAATAACATGATCAAACTAATGTTTTTTTTTTAGATAGTCAAATAAAGCTTCTTTTCACTATTCTATGTTGTTACTAAGCTTGGCAGATGTTTTCCTGGAAGTGTGGCTGGTTTTGGAAGGCAGACAGGAGTTCTGGACACTCCCTGAACATTTTCTGTTTTATTACTGTAGAGAATCAGATATTTCATCAGGGATTCTTTCCTTTTTGCCCAGACTTTGGTTTGTCCCAGATGTGAGAAAGACACAAGCTACGCACCTTTTTTGGGGCAAAAATAAAAACCCGAAAAGAACTAGCCTGCTCTGTTCTGACTTCTTACCTCCCAGCGTGGTAATATCCGCATGAGGACAAGATGAGGAGCCCTACTCTGCTGTTGATCACAGGACTGATTGTCATGACAACTTTCTCCCAGTTTCTGTCCGTAAGTACCTTGATCTGGTGATCTCATTTACATGGTCATGATTAGCTGCTTTTGATCTATCAATTAGTAGGGTGTCCTTAGACCTATTCAAATTAATGTTTTAATATTCCCTGTCCCCATTATGTTTTGGTTGTCTGCTACATCCTAATATAGAATAATGCAGATATCATGCATATATGCGTATAATGCATTTTCCAGTTTATTTAGATTAAGAGTTTTAGTCCTGCTATTATATGGACATTGCTTAGTTAGTATTTCAAATCATAACAATCACTAAGCATAACGAAGAATTTGTTGTTTCTTATCTGGGTACACCTAATTGAAAAAACAGAGAAGGAATTTAATCAATGCCTTTCTGCCCTTTTGCCAAGAATTTAGTTGACTATTTTCATTATAATATCTATATAGCTACCCCACCATTATCTGGTTGAACATGATTCAAGTTTTTGTCACGGTGGAGTTAATCTGGCGACCCAAAGCACCATATGAAAACACACCCTGGCCATCTTACTTGATACGACAAATAATGCACAGAGTTTTATAAAAAGCACAACGTGGTATAGTACAAATTTGTCGTTTGATTGATACAAAGTAGTGCACAAAGTAGTACATCACTGTTTAAAGCAAGCAGCTATGGGGCCAACGGAAAAAGGCTTATCTAATGTAAAAATCCAACTTCCACGGCAGTTTTGCATTTATGCTTGTTTCCTAAAATCTATTAATCTCTCAATCCCAGTAAATGAAGAACAAGCGTTTACTATAACGAACTAAAAACTGATTTTATTATATCACTCATGAAGGAAGTTGACAGTTTTTTTTAATATAAATATAAACTTTAGCTTGTTTTGCATTTTTCATCAAGGAATGAATGCATTTTCAGACCCTGTAGTTCCCTCCATGTTTATACACACCTGTAAATTATATTAGCCTGTTCATCAAACGCCATACACAGAAAAAAACTGGCCGTGTTTCCTAAGAATTAGGAAGACATAAAACAGTGATCTATATAAGTGATCTTGTTTTGTTTCCAGGATTTTATGTTTATGCATTTTAGGAAAGAGAAAAAATTATAAAAGCATTATCATCCATTTATTTTCTGTATTGTATTGGGGGACTGGAGCCTATCCTAGTATACAATGGGCGAGAGGCAGGGTACATCCTGGACAGTCTGTCAGTCCATCACAGGGCCACGAAGATTCACTCCTAAGGGTAATTTGGAATGTCCAATCAGTCTTTTTCTTCTTCTAACACACATGTTTTTGGACGGTGGGAGGAAGTCGGAGTAATGGAGAGAACCCACGCACAAATGGGGAGGATATGCAAACTCCACACAGAAAGGTCCCAGTTCCCCTGGTACTCAAACCCTGAACGCTCTTGCTGTGAGGCGATGGTGCTAACCACCACACTACCGTGCTGCCCAAGGACGGTCATAAATTACTAAATGAATGTTATGCTTGCGTGTGTAGGCATCAGACAGTTGCTATGAGGAGGTAGCTCGTCTGCGGAAAATGGAGAGCCATCTGAAGGGACAGCTTCAGAAACAAGAGTTCCTCCTACGCACATTACTGAACCAGCCTGAGAGCATGAAAAAAACTAAAGTGGAACAGAACCAGGATACACAGCATACAGGTCAGGACCATGGCTTCAGGACTGGAAGAAAATATCTGAAAACTAAACTGAAATTATCTGTCATGTTTCTGTTGTAGCATAAATAGGACCCAGATATACATGGGCCATGCGTATCTTATCTATGAACTGTTCTGTGTGTGTCAGACTGCTCAAACATTTTCAGTTCAGGCTCAAAATCCAGTGGTGTCTACAAAATCAAACTCAATGGCAACCCCCCTCCGGTCAAAGTCTACTGTGATATGTCTGATGGAGGTGGTTGGACGATTGTACAGAGACGGATTAATGGAACAGAGAAATTTAACAGGTGTGTCACAAAAAAATGCAAAAGAATTCCATCCATCCATAGCTTATCTATCTCTCTCTCTCTCTCTCTCTCTCTCTCTCTCTCTCTCTCTCTCTCT